CAGCCCTGCATTTTCCATATCCAGACACTGTGGTCAAGAAAAGCATCATGGAGGGGGAGGCAGAGCGGAAAGAGCTCAGATGGGACTCAAAGCCAAGGAAGGCAAATCGGAGATGAATCTTTATTTAACCTACATAAGGTCACAACAATTTCACTTCCAGAAATATCTCCACTGTTACTGGTTTTTAGTTAAAAATATCAAAGAGATACTGACTTAGCATATAACAGGAGACAATTCAGACCAAATGAATGGCTGCTTCAGAGACAGACCGTGCTCTGGAGGCAAGAGTATGACACTAGAAATCTCATTTCCTGGTAGAGGTGGGCAGCCTACTAGTAAATAGATATTATAAATGAATGAATGAGTAGAAAAAAGTACACAATAAAACACACAGTCAACTTATAAGGTCATTACTCTAATAGGCCCTTTGGCTTAATTTGGATTCTTCTTTCCAACTCTTTTAAACGTGACCACCGATGGGACAAGCACCCTTGGACATAACAGCAGGTGACTATGAATCCTGAAGGTGGAACTGGTGTGTAGAACCAGTACAGTACTTAGAAACTGGCACCAGTGGAATTTAGAACTAATGGCTCTAGGGGGGGACCTTGAGGTCACAGAAGAGGATGCTCTCTAAATGGCCCTGGTTGGTGAGTTGGTGGGACATGTGCTTGACCTGTGTGTTGCACCCCTGGCTGAGCGGCACGGCCCTGGAGCCTTCCATCCTCCTGGATCTCTAGGGAGAAGGACAGTGGCAGACACAGTGCAGCTCCAGCCCACCTGTCATGGCACAAACTTACAAGCAGCCTCCAGGATCTCAGCCTCATCTCCCCGAAGGAGACGGGGCTGGAAACGGAGTTCAGCCACATGGCCAATAATGTAATCAATCATACCTACATTGTGAAACCCCAATAAAAACTTATACTGAAGTTCGGGTGAACTTCCCTCATTGGTGATACTCTAAGTATTGCCCGAAAAGGCAGTAACACCAGCCAGGGTTTTACCTGGAGAAGACAATAGGAACATCTGCATTTGGAGCCCTTCCAGACCTGTGCCTCTTTATTTTGGCTGCTTCTGATTTTTTGCTATAATAAAACTATAATCATAAGTTAAAAAAAAAAAAGTGGCCCAAAGGAATATATGACAGGATTGTTACTTTGAAAAGCTTCAGAGTTAATGGTCTTCAGAGAGCACAATGTGTGAAGGAAATTTCTCTTTTTATCTGTAATCCTCCTTTCACAGCTTCCGCTCCCTTCCTCCCCAAAGGCTACATTACCAGGAATTTGGGCTTACTTCCTGTTTAGTAGGACAAGGTGAGGGGGGGAGGAAATGGGCACTGCAGCATTCTAGAAATTTACTCGTCCTTCTTCCTGGCCAAGGAGCCACATGGCAGCCATTAAAAAATCTGGAGCTGAGTCCTCATTTATATTTTAAAAGACTTTAGCTGAACTGGGGGATTCCATTTGAATTACATGGGTCCTATGAACACAGAACAATGAAATCCCTTCATAAATGTAACACCACATTTAGGAAGCAAGAGTAACTGGTTTGGAAAAGACAGACACTTGTGTCTTCTTATCACTACTAGAGATACTGCCCCCTTCCCCTGCCCCCAGCCAAGTCAATTAACTAACACTAAGGGTTTTCCAGACATGTGGAGGGAAAGCAGAAGAAGTAGAGAGGGAGAAATTTGAGATTAAGGTGACTTTTATTTAGTTCAAGACAGTGTGTCTTCTAGTCTCTTGAATTTACTGTGGTGATGACCAGAGACTCAAAGCAGAAGTCAGATCCCAAGGATGAAGGAAGTCCAGGAGAGGTTGATGAAATTCATTTCCAGGCATGATGAAAATACCCAGGTGGGACGTAAGGTACACAGAACAAACTCCTACCACCACCTTAGGCCATGAATGTGCAGAACTTTCTGAAGAATTTGTACAAGATCTCAGAAGGAACTCGTGTGGCCTAATTTTGATTCAAGTCTGTGACTCAATGGGACACAGATTCCTGAGCTTGTGGTCACAGTTTTACCAAAAACTTTACCAGACTATGCTTTACCAAACTATCTGAGGAAAGCACTGATCATTTTTGCTACATGGCAGTTGACCTAAACAACCAGGTAAAAGATGAAAATAGTGTGGAGAAGCTGGACCTACCATCCAAAGTCCCTCCTGTGGACTGCCCGGGCACCCTCTGTGCTCCACCCTCCCCACAACATTGTAACAACCTGTTGCCTGGCCTGTCTCCCCAACATCCTCCCAGCCAAGGACAGTGCCCTGTTTATCACTACAACCTCTCTGCCCAGCACAGAGGAGATGGCCAGTCATGTTCATGAAATAAATCAATGAATGAAGAGTGGAGTGCCTCCTTTTTAGGGTAATTAATCCTACCTTGCCTAAATTAAGCCCACTTCTTTAAGTGTGAGGAAATGAGTGGTTATATTACAAAGCATGAAGAAATAAATGATTATCTCATTTAATAACGAGCTGGACCAATAATAAAAATTGTCTGACTGTTGTTCCTTAGTTACTGCTCTGCCAAGTAGCCCATCTGTTTAACTGACATTAAAGATCTAATTTAATTAAATCTTGAGCAAGGCTTAGAAAACCTACTGAGAGCACTTTGTTTAATTACAGGCGGGGGGCAAGCACCAATCCTATTGATCTGGTCAGTTTAAATTCTATACAGTGAATGTGGGCAATGAAAAAAAAAAAAAGTGGCCCCAGCTGCTTTTCAGGCAACTCTGACCAACTGTGAATTCAGACCTGCTCTAAAGACAGCAAAGGCAAATAAGCCATGTATCATGTGGTATCACAGAGATGGAAATGAAACTACCTTAGTCATTCCAAAGAGCTACACATCATGAAGAACAGAAGAAAATGAACCACAGGAGACAGATTCCTCCTCAGGGAAATGAAATATATTGGGTGGTGGTGGGTGGAAGCGATCCAACATTGAAAGTCTAGTAAACTGGCATTCAAAGGCAGCTAGTAAATTCTATGAGACCCACAATTAGTTTTGAAATACAGAGAGGTAAGTCATGGATAGGTATGCACATTCCTGAGGACATTTCCAGTTGAGGAAGAGACACAAGTTCCTCAACATTTCATGATTTGGATGTAATGGAAATACAGATTATATAAAACCATATTAACTACAAAACCTAAAAGGTAGTAATAAAGGTTGTCTAAGTGCTTTATGAGTATTAACTGATTTTCCTGCCTTGGATACTATTCTTATTCCCACTCCATGGCAGAGTCCAGGGAGACACAGAGAGGTTAGTAACTTGCTCAAGGTTCACAGTGACTTGGTAGGTCAGGCTGTGACCCCAGGTACATTGTAACAGTACCACTACATTACGCTGTTCTCATAATCTCCAGAGTTGGAGAACATACTTGCACAGAAGGGGGACTGGCTTTTCATCCTCTGCTTGTCACAATCCAGGGCTGTCTTGTACGTTAGTAACTCAGGTTGAGAGGAGGAAATTTATTCTAAACCACAATATGCAATTACACCTAAGACCAACATTTCCTTCACAAAACATGCACCATCCGAATGTGCACACTAAGAGCAAGCACGCCTAATTAGGGCATTAGTCATAACAATCAGGGAGTGTAACCCAGGAAATTCCAGGTGGTGTGGACCTCAGCACTAAGTGCATTTCATCAGCTTGCCCAGATAAAGTCTTTGCTGACTGGGATGATTTACACCTGCTGATGCCAGAGTGGAGAAAGGCATCCCGTCCAGCTGGGGACTGAAAATAAGCTTAGGCACGTGAGTTCAGACAAAAATCATGCTCAGATAGGACAGGTAGGAATGCTGGCCTTTTAATTATGACATTAGCCATAAATGAGGACAGGAGGTGGTAATATTCAAAAATAGTCATTTCTTCCATATCCGTGCATAATGGCAACCAAGAAAACTTGTGTGTGCATTTAGAACAGACTGGTGTACACATGCTGACCTTGCGGAAGACAAGTTATTTCCAAGGTGTTCTTTAAAAGCAAGGGAGCGAGAGCAATGGTGAAGGATGAGGGATCTACTAGACATACTTTTCCCCTCTAAGCTGGCTTTATCTGCGTGCAGAATTGCCAGTCAGAGCACAGCTAGAAAGCAAGCTGCAAATATTGCCAAGATTGAGGAGGACAGTAAAGCCGGTCTAGTAATTCAAAGTGAAGTTCAGAGGGTATGTTTCCGATCGAAGAATTCATTGCTCTACTCCAGACCAATCACAGATCAAATTCACAGCCAAACAAAGAAGTACTTGTGGGTTCCGGAGGGGGGTAAAAAATACCCTGTCTTTAGAAAACTGAGTGCTTTAACAATTCTGCCAAACATGACTCTGCTGAAACATCAGCTCCTTCAGCAAAGGATGTATTTCCTAAGCAAGTTTTGGTGCCTTCTGTTCCAAAGGCTGCTGCAGGCCGTAGAACCATTTGGTAAGTTGGGGTGAATGCCAGAAATGACACATGCGTACATACATAAACACACACATACACACATATGATTGTCATAACCTTAATAAATGCACTAGAGGAGAGGACACTTCACATTAGACTCCCCGCAGGTAAGTGAGAGCAGGTACTACAAATTTAAAGAAAATTCTATAGAAGAAACTGCAAAGGGGAAAATTCTATTTATTTCTGCAAATTATAAAATATTATTAGTCTATCTTAAAGGAAGAACATTTTAATTGAGTTTGGGGAAGACGTGCATACCCTGGAGAATGGTTTGAGAATCACTGCACTGATAAAATTTTACCATCCACTTAGATTTGTGATCCCAGAGAACAGTGTTTTTTAAAATCTTACCTGCATACCTCAGCGCTTTCAAAACTACTCCCCTTTTGAGAATGACTTCCTGGTCAGAAAGGGATGGAGATTCCCAAGACTACAAGTGCCACAAAATTCTTGGGGCTGCCCTTGGCTCTTACATGCTTGTCTGTCTTCCAGGCCCACAGCCCGGGGGGAAGGCCTGGTCAAGGCCGCACTGGGTGCGCTCACCCGTCTCCGGAGCCGGTCCCGCTCCTCCCGGATGGCGTTCATGGTGGCCTTGGTCCTGTTCAGCTCCTCCTCTTTGCTGCACAGCATGGCGGTCAGGCTCTCATTCTCTTCCCTCAGCCCGGCCAGCTCCTTCTCCCAACGAGACCGCTCTTCGGCCAGGTTGGGATACAGGTCCCGGCCAAGTACCCCTTCAATCTCTTCGACTGTCTGGAAAACACAAAGACAAGCCCAGTGGGTTCCCTGGGAGCAAGGAGAGGGGAAGACAATAGGCAGGATGGGTGCGAGTGTCGACAGAGGAGTGGGTTCCACGGTCCTTTCACTGCTAACACTAACCATGACTACCCCCAAATCACCCTCTCCCCATTTTCAGAGAAGGCTCTGTGACTTGCCTGGGTCACAGTCTGCGTCTCCCAACAGTCCCCAGAGTCAGAACAACACAGTCCCTTCATGGGACGTTTGTCTATCTGTGGCTCTGACGGCCACATCCACACAAATGCTTCCGTCCTCCGTCCACGTTGCGGGGTTGGTAAATACACACAACCAGACAGCAAGCCCGTCAGTGGGCTTCACAGTGCAAGTGCGAAGTTGCAAACAGCATACAAAAGCTAACTTGAAGTTTCCCAAATCACAGGCCTCCCATGCTGCAACTCTGGGATAGCAGAAGTCACATCACCATTTCCAGCTTTTGGTGTCACATCAGAATTCAGAGGGTGTGAATGAGGTTCAGTCCCAAGATGTGGAAGACAAAAATAAACCTCAGTGACACAGAAAAGACAAAGCTCACTGTAGATGCTTCTAAGACAGCAGGGATTTCATTAATTAATAAGACAGCTATGAGCGAAAAAGAATAGAATCTTAATAGTACTTGGAGAGACTTTTACAAATTCATTTAAGATGTAGTATTAATGGAGAAGAGACATGCCTAAAATTAGGGGGGGGAAAAGGAAGAAGTAATTCTGCTTGGCTTCAGAAACTATTCATTCCCATCCACTGCCCTTTGGCATAGGAAGCATAAGTCAACAAACTGATATGGAAAAAAGAGGGAGGAGGACCATGTAGGGCAAAAGGCAGATGTGAGGAGATGTGAGGAGAAACAGGTGGTCTCAAAAATGCAAGAATGTGAGGGGATTACACCCTCGGATGCCCACATTGGTTCCGTGATGAAGAAATTACACAAATCTTGCTGTCACTTTCCACACTGGGGCTTCATCCTTCCCCTCAAATCTGAGGCTCTTCTCCGCAGCCCTGCTCCAGGCCCGCTCCGTCCGTCCCCTGCTGGTTGGCAGAAACCCTCAACACCCTCCTGCCCTCGCAATGCTGAGGCCAGGACTAACACCCAAATTGACATTACAATCAAATACGGGGCCTCGGAGACTCCAACAAAAGAAACGCCTGCGGTTGCCTCCCCAAACCGTATCAACTATCTATTTATAATTGCGATGAATGAGATGGAAAACCAGCTGTGTTATAAATATGAATCCTGGTTTACCTTGAGATGATACCACAGCGCTTTTGTGAAAGCCAGGATTCCTGTGGATAGAACCTTGGGCCTAGTGTCGAAGGGATTTTTCAATTAATGTGTCACATTTTCCCTTTACGTGGGCTCCTCCCAGACTTTTCAGTTTGAACTGCTATGCCTAGGTTACTAAGCTATGGTGAAGTCATATACGGATACCAGAGGCCCAGTATCAATAGGCCTTGGCATTCCCATTGCTCATGAGGAGTCTGTGCAGATGCAGCACATTCCTCATTCGAGTTCCCAAGGCACCAAGATGGAAGGCTGTGGAAGGTGTGGCTGAGGCCTCGTCCAGTGTGCTCAGGACAGATGACTCACTCAGGCCCTGAACTTCCCTCTTGTTAGCACCATGAATTGCTAACTTCTGAATTAATATACGAGAGGCCTTAAAGCTTAAATAAAACTTCCAAGTTAATCCTACAGCTTGCGAGTGCTACATGATGGGCCACACTAAAATGATACGGTTCAATACTAGGAGTCTGAGTTTTCAAGGAAACCGTCACTTTTGCTGAAAAGCCAGTGATCTTGACTGCTGACATAATGACTTTTTTTTTTTTTTTTTTTAACATGATTCAGCCCAACAAAAATTTACAGGGCTCCTACCTCTCCCTGGCGGTCCAAACTATAGTACCGTTTTCTTAGAAACACTCATTCCTAAGAGATATTTGAGAAAACCACACTTCAGAAGACAGAGATCTGACCATTTCCCTCACATGCTCTCAAAGAGCCAGCCAGAATGGGGAGCGTATACCTTGATGGCCAAGTCACAGTGCTCACTGGCCGTGGTGAGCTGCTCGATGTGCCTGTCCACCTCGGCCACGGAGAGGCTACAGCTGCTCTTCTTCCTGCAGCAGACGACATTCTCCAGCCCCGTCAGCACCCTCTGCAGCTCTGAGTTCAGGTCACTGCAATTATCTGTGAGTGAAGGTGGACATGATGAGTTAAGCAGGCAGGTGGGGAATGGATGCTCTCCATTTCACTCACCATGAGGGACCCAGTCAGTAAAATGGAATGGCAACAGGAGCCTGATATTCTAGACTTTAATGCTATGCGGCCTCATGTCATAGGCTGCCGGTACGTACCGCCTCTGAGGCTTAGAGCCAAGGTAGAGCCTTTGTTAAGGAGTTTCAGACCACGGTCATTTTCTAGACAGCCATACCACACTAAATGCTCTAGTCTTTCACTGGAAGGGAGCTATGTCTCAAGTTCTTTGGTAAGAATAAAGAAGGGTCCCAGAAGAGGCTGTTAGGACTTCAAAAGCCTTCTGGTCAACTTTCCTCCTTAGCTATTCAGACAAGTACGACTCCAGAAAGAGTTTCAGCAAAGATCTCAGAGCTTTACTCAACAAAACAAAAAGGCCCAGAGTGAGCAGAGACACTAGGCATTAAAAAAAAAAAAACAAAAACGGTAAGAGACAGTCCTTGCCTTCAGTGAGCTTATAATCAGAATTTTTTTCTGATATGACCAATCAGTGTGCTCTACCATTGCAGTTTAACCCCCTTTTCCATCAGGGGAGAAGTAAACTCTTCTAATGAAGTTCATACTGTTCTCCATGTAAAGGTCTTGTAAGTCATTCTAATAATTTGATCCTGCCTTAAAAAAATCTGGGTTACTTTTTTCCCTTAGAATTCTAAGCAGGCTCCATGACTTGGGGCTTGATCTCACATCCCTGAGATCATGACCTGAGCCAAAATCAAGAGTCGGATGCTTAACTAACTGAGCCACCCAGGTGAAAACTCTGGGTTACTTTTAATTGTTGGACATCTAGGGCCTGGTCTGGGAAGAAAAATTAATTATAATCTTAGTATGAGCTACAAATATTTTAGAAGATAATTCTGCTGGGGGAAAAAAATCCCCTTAAAGTCAAACACAAATAACCTGGTATTTTGGATTATAGCAAGACAGGTGTTAAGCAGCCTCTCAAAGGGCATTCCTCCCCTACATCCAGTCTGATTCCTACATGAAAGAAGCTCAACATCTTCAGTTTCTCTTCTTTGTTCCTCCTCCCTTCTCATCACAGCTTCCATGCACTAAAACAGTCCATTGGGGCTTACCTTTGGAAGACATCGAAAAACTCAGTACTATAGTAACAGAATATATCAGAATCTTTTGGTCAACCTTATTTGACTGCCTGGATCTCCAAGTTACCTGAATCTAGAGAGAAGACAGCCCGAGGCTTTCACACCAACCAATGGACCCAATTATTCCCCTTCCTCTCACACCTACTCCTTCCCAGCTCTGTGAACGGCACCACCATCAGCTCAGTTATTCAGGTTACCTGTCAGGCAAGCTTCATTTCCTTTTGCCCCACATCCTTAAACCCAATCCACCTTGTGAGTGCAACCTCCGAAACTTATCCCCAAAGGGACCTCTTCTTACCATCTCCACCAATACCACCACAGTTCAGGCTACCATCATTTCTTCACTGAACCCACCCGAACAACCTCCAACCTCCACTCCCCACACTGCAGCCAAAGCGAGGCTCTCAAGGACATAAGTCAGATGTTACTCCCCTAGCCCAAACTACCTAATGGCGTCCCACTGTCATTCAGCTCAAGCCCAAACTCCTCACCAGAGTCTGTAAGACTCTGCATGATCAAGACTGATGATGTTCTCAAGGTGCAGTGCAGGTTGCACTGTGGAATTTTCTGGGGACTTTTTGTAAATTACCCCTGCGCAGGCCCCACTGCAGACCAATTAAATGACAGTCTCTGGGGGGTAGGGCTTGGGCACTGGGAAAAATTTTAAAGGTCTTCAGATCACTCTCACATGCATCCAGGGTGAGAACCACGGACCTTGTCCTTGCCTCATCTGTCTACCTCCCCCCGACGCGCTCTGCTCCATTCACACTCCTGACCTTCTCTCCATCCCTGGAGCATGCCTCCTTCTCCTTTGCTGTTTCCTCTGCCAAGACTGATTTCCACCCAAGTCTCCACTTACTCAGGTCTCAGCTCAGATGCCCCCTCTTCACCAAGCTCTTCCCTATCTAAAAAGCATGGGGTTCTGGCTCTTCTCCCTGCTCAGTCCCTACCCCATTATCCTATCTTCTTCGTGGCAATTACCACTACCTGATCTGACTTACGTGTTTATTATCTCTTCTCTACTGAAACGTGAGCTCCATGAAGAAGAAACTTTGATCTTCCTCACCACTGTATCTCCAACATAGAAGAATGTAGGCGATCAAGAATTACTTTTAAGTGGGCAAATATGAACCTCACATCATGTATTTCAGAGACAGACTGGAAACACAGACTGCCAGCAGCAGCCTGTTTTACATCAACCTTATGCTTTTTGTCCTCATCATAGACCATGCCCTGAGCTGCTAACAACTGGGGGACAGTCCTCACTGCAGAAGGTCCTCTGGAGAAGGGCACCGCAGGTGCCCACCACCAGCTCAAGCTAAGGAGGTCCAGAGCATGCCGCTGGAACTCTCTCTGAAGCACACTTAACTGTAAGTAATAATCGGAGAAATTTCTCCAAATGATCATTTACCTCGAGCTGCAGGGCTCCTGGTACACAGAGCTGGAGTTCACATAACTCCTGAATTATTTGCATTATTAAGTGCTTATGAGTGCGATGAGGAAGAAAGATGGTTCTATTCACCCATTCCATCTGGATTTCCCCAGCACAGCTCCACCTGATACAGTGATCACACTGGACATGTCTGCTCTGGGATCTTCTGGCAGGACCTAGAGGTGGAACCAGGCTGCATGCCAATTATGTTGGGCTTTGGGGAACAGGGGGAGGGTGTATAAATCTGGCCGACACTTCTTTCTCATTGCTTAACCAAACAGTTGCTGAGCCCTGGCCTCAGGCTAGCAGCAGGGTACAAAAATAAGTAAGAGACTCTCCTCAACCCTGGGAGGCTCACAGGTGTACGAGGAAATGCCACAGTCCCTTCTCTCAGCTGTCCACTACCACCCCGGGGAAAGTGACCACAGAGAACATGGTGCTGGTACAGGATGGAGAATCAGGAGATGAGGAGGGTATGTAAATGAACATCCAGACTGAAACCAGCTGAGCTTCTTCCCTTTGAACCAAAGAGGGCCCTTAATGCTTTCTGTGGTCTTAGGAAGCCAAATGTCTAAGACACAGGTTGGATGATGAACCCTAGACACTCCCGCCTGTTACCCACTGAGTTCTGCACAATGGTTTGATCCAAGTCCCACTAGTGATCGGGTGACACGTGGCTGTCTTTTTGTCGTTCTTCAGTTTAGGAGGGCAAGGTGGCTAGGCTGGCAGGAGCAGCTATCCTGGGTTCCCTGGCAGGAGCAGCTATCCTGGGTTCCCTGAGTGCTGCCGCCCAGCACCAATCACTCACCACCATTCACCCCGAGCCCAGTGCTGCTCCATACAGGGTGGAATTAGCTTTCAGAGTCTGTGCCATATTCCTCTAGACACTGAGTTGGAATAAATTCTCAGTCCCTTCTCCCGACCTACGATGCTCTGCATCATCCGGCCCCTGCCACAGAGGAGAGCATCAATACCACAGGTTGAGGCAGTGGGAGTTTCTGCAAAATGCGAGAGAGATCAAGGGACCTCTGGTTAAGGGACCAGAGGAGCAGAGTAAACAGAGACAGGGGCCAAGTATTCCAGACGGTGCAGAAGGTGCCTCATTCACAAATCAAAGCCACAACGAGATGTCACCTCACACCCATCAGGATGGCTACTGTTTACAACAACAACAACATAACATAATGTGTTGGTAAGGATATGGAGAGAAAATTAGCATCCTTGTGCCCTACTGGGGCACATTCCCTGTGGGAATGCAAAATGGTGCAATCTCCGTGAAAAACACTATAGCAGTTCCTCAAAAATTAAAAATAGAACTACCCTATCCTCCAGCAATCCCATTTCTCAATCCAATTTCAAAACAGTTGTAAGTAGGGCTCAAATAGATACTTGTACACCCATGTTCATAGCAACCTTAGACACAACAGTCAAAGGTGGAAGCAACCCAAGTGTCCACTGACCAGTGAATGGAAAAACAAAATGTGGCTTATATACACAACGGAATGTTATTCAGCCTTTAGGAGGAAGGAAATTTGAATGCATGCTACAACATGGATGAACCTTGAGAAGATTATACAAGAAATAAGCCAGTTCCGAAAGGACAAATGTTACATGATTTCCCTGAGATGAGGGACCTAAGAGTAGAGCTTACCAGGGGTAGGGCAATGCTGCTTACAGACACACGGTTTCTGTTTGGGAGGATGAGAAAGTCCTGGAAACGGATGGTGGTGAGGGTGGCACAACTCTGAATGTACATCCTGCCACTGAGCTCCACACTTGTCATGAGGGTGACACGGAGGCGGACCTGCTACAGCACCTCAGGCTGTGCTGTGCTTTATTTAAGAAAGGTGATGGCTTGGCCCCCTGTGCCGAGGACAAAGAGGAGGCCCTTCGTATAGGATACGCATTCTTTTCACGGAGGTTATTTTTCTCTTTCCAAAGAAGAATTTGAAGTGGCCTGTAGCAAACACCCGCACGTAAGGGGGAAACAGAGTGACCGGACCCAGGGAAAGGCCAAGGACGCTGACGGAGGCTCACACGGCTGCTGGGGCAGACTCTTCCACTTAGCCCTGAGCTTCCTGGCAGCCAGAGCGAAAATAAAACCTCTCCCGTCAGAAAGGAGGAAGCATTCCGTTTTCCCAAGAGAGACACTGTGTTTTCAGCCACAGAATCTAAAAGAATTGAGGTATATGGGACTTCATATGTGGTGTAAAGCAATGGCATTGCCAGGCTCCTCAGACCCAGTTTCAAAAAGAGGCAGATTTCATATGGTTTCTTCTATGCTAACCTTCAATTAAAATTAAGCCATGGGCCATTCAAGTACAACGTGAAGGGACTTCTGGGAAGGACTAAGTTCGCACAATCTTGGCACGGTGCCTTCCAGTTGTCCAATTTGCTGTAAA